TTCTAAAAGATTATTGACCTCTAAAGGGACTGGTGAGGTCACATATTTTCCTCTGTCTTTGCAGTGTACTATTCATCTTCATTAGAGAGAACAATTGAAGGCGTTTTCTTCTCGTACTAGAGGGTATTAACACAGACAGATTATCCCTTGCACACTTCACTAATAAAGTTGATTTCTATTATTGTCTGTCCAGGTAAAGGCAGATTTTTCAGCATTGTCTTCTTCACACTGACCTACTCCTCCTCTTCATCAGACTTTCTTTAGCAGGCACTGGGAGGCAGGCATTTTTTGTTACAAGGTGAATATGTAGCTCACTGTTTACTGGTTGTTTTGTCAGTCAGAAACACATTCCTACTTTTAGACTGGGAACTTTGTTAGATGCAAGACACATTCAAATACTGTCTAGGTGTAATGGAAGTTAATGTAGTGCTGTCGAAAATAATCATGCTATGAAGCCCTCTCTTTGAAAAACTGAAGAATCAGACATATGACATATATTTCTTTTTAGTACTGATGCATTATTGCAACCTGCTTAACACGTTTGGAGTCCTGCACATTTCTCAGTTGCTGTGGGAATATTTGGGGATACATGGATACATGGAATCTGTGAGAGACGGTTGAGGAATAACAATGATGCAAAAAAAGCAGTTAGCTTATTATTTCAGAGTTCCTTGAAAAATTTTTAAATGGAAAACATATCACAGATGTTCTCTGTTGCTGAACAACTCTGTTTTCGATTTATAATATATCAACTTGATGAATTATAATTGTGATAACATTGTGCTTGACAGAAAACCTGCGGTGTCAAATGTGTTGCACTCATGAATAAATGGATCTTTCTTTCAACCCAGTTGTTTCAAAGTATACTGAGAACTCACTAGGTTTACAGTGAAAATGCCTCATCTTTTGATTGAAAAATATGTCCACGTTTACACAACACAGAGCACAACACGGCAAAGTGAAGCAAATTGGAACCGTTGGCCTCTGTTGAACCATATTACTGGTGACCATATATCATTTTTTTATAGGTCACAAGTGAAGCACATCTGTTTCCACTTGGCTAAGTTTCCATACAAAACATTTGAATAGAGATTCTTCACCTATATCTGTTGCTCCCCTATGCTTGTTTAAACCAGCATGCATCTCATACATCAAACCTAGGAAAGAGCAAAAGGCTGTTTAGTGCATTTCTGAAAAGGTTTGATGATAGAACACAGTTTAAAGAGTGCTAAGATTTTTTAATGTTTACACCGTGACACAGTTTGCTTTAAATGATTTGTTTATGTAGTGTGGTCTTTTAACACTCAACGTATTTGACAGTTGTGCAAGCCAGAGCCCAACATGCCCACATTGGACCTTGCTTTTTTCTAATTTGATCTCAAAGCCCCTCATGTGTTTGACTTCTTTTTAATTGCTTCCTGTCTGCTGGGTCAATTATAAGTCCTGGGTTTTAGGGGGGACCGACTATAGCAGCATTTTTGAACAGACGAAGTGATTAAATAACTGAAATTTGAGAGGAATGATGAGATCACTCATTGGGACTTGATTTGATAATATTTTACTTGGTGTGCCAGCTCACAGCATACACATGTTGATTTACGTTTAGACAGAAGTCGATTGCTTGGGATGCCTTTCTGCGATCTGTTTAATGGAGAAAAAAAACGGAGAGAGACAAAGACAGCCTTACTATTCTATCCATTATTGATTTTGGGTCAGGTGCAAGCCGTTGTAAATACCCCATTGGTGTTGTATTTAACACAAAATATGAGCCTTGAGAAAAACGCTCAAAAGATTAATCAGTAGTCAGCAGGCGAATTAAAAACACATAAAAACAGGTTTTCATTAACATATGGTAATCCATTCATTTTTAATTAACCCCAACAGCAAAGTAAAAGCAAAATAATGTCCATGTCAAGCTGCACTCTCACTGTCTGTTCCAGATACTTGTGAAAACACCATTGGTTGATGATATTGCATTGTTTCAATATTTCTGGCAACAGTTAGATAAAGTTTGCCATCTTAAGATACAACTTTAAAAGGAAATCTGTAATACAACTGCCAAAGTATTGGTAAAAGTCTCCATAAACAAATCCTGTTGATTGAACGTAGTATTCAGCTGTCCTCTCAAGTCAAAATCAATATTTACAAGCAAGACTAACAACCAAATTTCAGTACATTCTACAAATTCAACATCTTCACACACAACTTACAGAAAAGCTTTAAAAGTTGTCCAACTTACAAAATTAACACTATACACACTGATACAAGGTTGTTTTTGTTTTTTTTAAATCAGCCCATACATGCCCTGTTGCTTCCCTAAATAAGCCCTGTGTCTAGTTCAACCAGTGCAGAAACATGGATGTGCCTCAAGGTGCTACAGCAGTGAGGTTGAAACTCCAAGCGGCATGGTTGCCCATGGCTACATAAATATTACCCGAGTCTCCACTGTGTAGAGAGGCCTTTTTTGATTATGAGTCCACTCCGAGAGTTTGATATCCAAGGAGACCACTAAAGCCAGCTTGAAAATTTATGAGAGAATACGCAGAGAGTCGGTGTAGTTGTGATGTGGGGGAGTTTCATTTGGTTTGGAACAGATCAAGCTGCTGGATTTCATGCAAACGAAGCGGGGAAAGAAACTAGCACTAGTTTGCAGTTCACATACTTGAAGCTTCACTTTGAACTTTATGCTCTAGTGGTTGGGAGGGATGTGACGAGAAGAAAATAGGAAATGCAACCCCTTTCTGTGTCCTAAAGCTGATTCTCATATATATATATGTATGTATGCAAATTGTTAGCTTATAAACGATCTCAATTACAGGAGCAGTTTTACAAATTTTGTAAGTTTTTTTTCAACAACACAATGACATAAGCAAACTCTGTTGCTGTATGTCTAGGTCAAGCCCAGTAAAATGTAATAAAAGAACAAATTAAAGAAGGTCAAAAACACTTAATGAACTAATGATTGAGTGATCGGGGTTAGACATGGCTTTGTTAATTGTGCTCTGAAGCATATAACCTGGCCAAATCTTTGTCCATCATCAGCGAAAGGACACTGATTCGTGGGGGTCAGCAGCAGTCCTGTGACTGGTCATGTGCGCCTGAAATGTCAATCATGTGCAAATATTTTTGGGAAGGAACCAATAAGCATTGTTAGGTTAACAATTGAAGGTTAAGAGGCAGGCTTGGAGCCACATGGGAAATGGGGAGACATGTTTGCTCTCACCATGGATGACTGAGGTCTGTCTAAAGCATCTGGCAGCCTTTTCAACTGATATGAAAACAGAAAAGCACTGCAGTTACGTCTTTACTATCCTGCAAAGATACACTGGTGTGTATGAATACTTAATATTTGAAAATGGACATCATAATTTTTGTCCTTCTGAATAATAATATAGTTTTTCACCTTCTGAATGTTTCTTTTTAGCTGTGGAAAAGGGCCAGCACTTCACGCACCATTTGGTGAGTGATTACGTGCAATATTGTGCCGCCTTTGCAAGACATGATTATATCACAGTTTATCATAAACAATTGCACACAAACAATTTACGTGCAACCACTGTGTCAAAGAAATGTATGCACAAGCTGGGGTCACACACACAAGGAGGTCTATAATTAGCAAAATACATTTTAATTACTGAGTGATTCAAACTACTGATATCTCTGTCTTCACCAGTTTATAATTTATCTGGTTGTGAATTTTTACAGTTCTATGAATTATGTTCATTCACAAGAACAGCAATATAAGTCTAATGCCCTCTGTTGACAATCTGAGGAAGCAGATTCAAATGAATTCAGGCAAAATGGCAGTTTAAGCTGTTCATTTACGCCGCAGCCATAGAGACACCACATGTGTTTTTAGTCTCAGCTTATAAATAAACATTTCTCCAGATATGGATGCCTGCCACTGGGTGACCTTTTATTACATCTGTTTTCTCTTTTTTGTCCCTTGCAAAAAAAAAAGCTTGTATTATTATGTAAAATTATGCTTATGAAAACACAAGTCTGCCCCCTCTCCTGCGTTCACCTTCACCTGGCAAGCATGACTCAACTTCACATTTCCCCATAGTGGGTGAAAGACAGTTTCTATTGAAGCCAGGTGTGCACCCACGTCTTGTCTGATAATGTTCCTGGACAGAATTCCTCAACCAGATCATAACATGCTCCAAGTCTTCACCAAATGCAGAAATAAACATGGAACCCTTGTGACCTGCATGTTTGATTTTTTACATATTCTGATTCAAAGATACAGGCCCTGATGAAAATATGGAAAATAGCTGCTGCCTTGGAGATTAGATTTTCTAACTTTGAGAAATATATTTGACTTTTCATGAGGCTTTAATACAATCATAAATTACAACTTGGCTGCATTTCAAGAGGAACCTCCCTTACAAATTGTGTACAGAACGAACTGTAATGCCTGCATTATACAGTGAATACAAATTGTGGATCACCTACATAACATGCAGCGTACAGTAAGAGGTATGAGGTGCAAAGGTCAAAGCCAGCAGCCTGACAAATTTCCCTTCTCTGCCGAATGGTGCCATGAATCATGTAAAATAAAAATTGCAAGGCAATAAACACACACACACACACACTCACAATTGAGGAGAGATTCTTGGTTTGAAAAACTATGTCTCCACACACACATTTAGTTCTACATACCAGCAGCAGCAGCTTGACCACTGCTGCCAGGCCCAGTGTGTTATCCTGTGGGGCCAGTTGGAGTGAGGGGAGTAAAAAAAAAGTCTGCCTGTGCTTCCATGTTCCTTTTGATGCCTGGTAGTATTACAGTAGAATAAGTCCCCTGTCATTGGTTGAATAGACTGGACTGCCTACTGTGACAGAGTGTGGGCCTCTCATGCCCAACAGGAAGCCAGTGTTGCATCTCTAAGCAGAAAGTGCTAAAAAATGAGGGGGGAATATATTGATAACCTCCTTCCTGTCCGGATGACGTAGTTAAATCTTTTTTTTTTTTAAAAAGAAGAAGGAGGGAAAAAGCTGAGCTGATTCCTGCCCGGCATGATAATAAGTTGATGTTATTAGTCCCTTGCAAAGATCCAGACTCCGAGTCAACGCGGATGTGGAGTCCATGTCAGGTTTTAGTGGAGTCCTCCGCTCAGACAAGCTCCTGCAGACGGCAGCCTGCTCTCCGCTGCACTGGCGCTGTTTACTGGAAGCCCGCTCTGCGCTGCTTCCACCAAGTGTCTCAACACTGTGAGCGGGATCTTTTCCAGAGGCGAGCCGCTGAAACTTGCCCACTCTTCACAGTCTCGTTCAGAGGAGCCAGGAAAGCAGCGTCGGCGGCTAAAGTAGCGGCGAGCGGGAGTCTCTTCTCCCCCACCACCACCCCCACCCCCTATTCACCAGACACTGAAAGCCCCACACTCTTGTCTGTCCCTCTCAGTCACCCAGTCTCTCTCTCTCTCTCTCTCTCTCTGGGTCCCCGAGCTCCGCTTCTCCTCTCCTTGTTTGTTGTTGCTGCTCCGGGAGTGAATGCGCGACAGGAGAGCCGAGACTGTGAGGCGCAGTAGGCGTTGATGAGTCAGGACTGAGCGCAGAGCAACACCTTGCTTTTGCCATGGAAGTGTGCGTCCGGTGCAGGGGAATGTACGGGCTGAGAAGGGGACCTGCCGCCTGATTGCCAGCCTCTGTCCCAGATAAGGGGAGCATGCCTCAGACCTGCAGAGTGATTCTCTTCGCTGCAGAGGAGATCCCATCTGTCTATCTGACTGTCTATCCACAATCTGACTTTTAAATAGTTTGTTATTGTTATTTTTTTCTTCTTGCAAGTCACATCCCTTCTGACTTCATCATCCCAGCCTGGTTGGCTTCACTTCTTTTCAATAAAGGTAAGAGTTTTTTTTCCCTCTTTTGTCTTTTGCACGGTAGTCTCATCACCACTTTATACATCAGACCCTAAGCGGTATTTTGACAAGTTGATGTGGAGTGTGGTAACTTTTCTTTCTTTGCTCGGTCAATTCAGAGCTTTTCATTCGCTTTCGAGGACTCACGTGAAATAATAGCAAGACATTAGGCTACTCGGGTCTTACAGTGTATTTGAGCGACTTTTTAAAAGTAAAACCAAGGTTTTACTGTGGGAGAAAAATCACTGGGTTTGAACAATGAATGCGCCTTTAATTAAAGCAGTCCACCTCTTTTACTAGCTGGTGATTGTCCAAGGGGTACCGTGGTTAATTGAAAAATGGTTAATCAAAACATAACCAGATGTGGATTGATTTGTTCGGCGGCCGAATTTGCCTGAGTGGAAACTATTAAAAAGTGAGGGAGCAGCGCGTTTATGTGAACCAGAACATGTAAAGCAACATTTAATTGCAGTGTGTGCCTTCAAGAGTTGAAGTGTAGTTTGCTGGTGGTACTGGGCACCGCGAGGCTTTTTAAATCCACTGATGGTCTTGTTGGTTTGAATAGGGGATTTATGTTGGGAGCTGTGACCTGAGAAGCTATGTCGGTGCGATTCCAGAGAGCATTCACGGGCTAATCCATTATAATTGTGACTGGGCTATTTGTCCAAAGAAAGAAAAAAATCATTCAAGCCTCGCCTACCAATGTAGCCTAATAATTAGTTTTGGCCAGAGAGAGAGAGAGAGAGAGCCTATGATGCAATGGGCTACAAGCGTAGGGAAATGTCATGGAAATCCATCAAAGGGAGAAATAAAAATTAAAACTTACAGAAAAGGGGACGAATTTGGCTGCTTAGGCTTAACTCGAACTCATTCGGCGCAGAAAGGCAGAAAAATTAGATCCTCTTACTGCACATTTATTATTTAGGCCTACCGATTCCGAACGCGTCTTGTCAACCATGTGTTAAAGAGTAAGCAGCAGAGACGCACATGGGGTGCGGTGTGTGCTTCTCCTGACCCGAGAAACGCACAGCGGCCAGCCGGTGATACATGGCAGCCTGGAGCAGACCGGCAATCTTCAGTGATCGATCAGTGGATTGGGATAAATTTAGCTCCACTCTTCTAGTGCCCTCAGCGTTTCTTTTTTTGTTGTTTTTTTTTTAAGAGAGAGGGAACTATGAATTCCTGCCTGGATTAGAGTCCATGAATGTGTCTCATTTCTGTGTTTGGTCTCTTAAGTCTCTGTAGAACACATTCATCATAGCTGAGAGGAATAATATAATTGCTGTAAAAGGTGACATCAGTTGAATATTTCGTCAAATGTGCATTTAAATGATCTAATACAACAATCGTGATTGGTAAGGCACAGCCTTTTCCAAGGCTATATTTGCTAGATGATAGAAAATAAAAGAATAAACTGAGTGTTTTGGTGGATGAAGTAGTTTTATCTCCCTGGCCATACATGACAAAGTGGCATTCAGTTAAACACAAAGGCAGCCTATTTGTGAATGAGTATTGAGTTTTCAGGAATGTATAAGAAATAAGCTAATGCACTCTTTTATCAGGCTCCAGAAGCTACACTTCTGATTCAAGCCTCTCTATTGGGAGAACTCAATTTTCACATGTTTGTGCATAAAATAATGTTTGAATTAATGCAAAGTGCAAATTCCAGCTGTTTGGAAGGAACATATTAGCATATCAAAGTGACCAGAGCCCTTACACAATGGAAGGAGTCGTATTTTCTGCCACTGCTTTTGGCTGAGCCTGAAAGACTTGAGAAAGAGTGTGTGAGCTGGTAAAACTCTAAAAGACTTGTGTATTTCACCCATTCTTGTAAGTAGGTCGGTATGACATCTTGTGTATAACATAATCTCACTTTTACTTTTTTGTGTGTTGGTGTGAGAGAATATGTCAAAGCTTTCACACAACAGGATAATTGTACAGTGACTCACAAAGCAGTGTGTTATTGGGAAAAAAACATTTGGTTCTTAGTTGAAAAAATAACATGTAGTTAAACAAGCTTTACTTTTTTGAACTCTTAATTAATGCAGAGCAACATATTTATTATTCAGTTTGTCAGCGCCTGCAATAACAGGTGTATCTACGCACATTGGAAATAATACAAACTACTTGTGAACTGGATTAAAGAAGGAAACTATCTTCTTGCATGTCTCAGTGCTTGATATCTTTGGCTCGAGCTTGCCATGATGAGCGTTTTCCCCGTTGAATCCAGCATGAGAGAGAGTACCTTTTTCAGTCTATAGCCTTGTTTCAGTGGAAGTGCGTCCGGTTTCAAAGAACTGCAGCTGCTCTTGATCTGCCAGAGCACCAGATTGCCCCTCTTTGCTTGTGCGTTCATCTCTCCTCGCAGATCAATACAGCCCGGCACACTTCTATATGGGTTTGGGCGAGACAAAGTGCTACATATCATTCTTTTTCTCAACTCTTTATTTCGCACTCTCCACAGCACGAGACTCTTATGACTCAGTGCGAGTGGGTGTGAACACATCAAAATTTGTGACATTACGGACTGTTGCTTAATTTTCTGCTGGCACATCTTTCACCCTAGAACGGCAGCTGAGGTTTTGTACCATCCACGGATATTTGACTGGTGCATTAAACAGATCATAACGCAGCTTTCAGAGCCTCGCCAATTTTTTTAAATTATAACAACAAGCCAGGCACTTCCACTCTGGCTTTATTAAGGTAATTTGTTATTGATTTAATTCAATATAAGCACGCACACACTGACCAGTGGCAACATTTGCACACTTTGTGTCGCACTCTCTCACAAGCCTGTTGTCTTTGTCTGAGCCGTGATTGGCGAGGCCATAAGATTGATTTAAAGGTTGCCTTGTGGCTGAATGGATTGTTTGTGCTAGCGATACACTATATGGATATCATGCTTTTATTCACGGTGAACGCCAAATTCAAGCTCATCTTTTTTCTCCCCATTTTTCTTGAGCATCACAGTTTGTGTGTAAGGAAGTTGCAGTGCTTACAAATGATGTGTTAGCTACTCCATAGCAAAACCAAGCAAATGATGGAGGTTGTGAATGCATGTCAGTGGTAGAGGATTGGATTGGATGGAGGTAAAGCATTTAGATTTACATCCCATTGCTGATTTGGCATGTAAATTGTAGGTTTGTGTTTTCAGATGCAATCTTTTATGTTGCTAAACCACCTACACGGAGCCATACTGTGCGGATAACTGCTCGCCATTAAAGGGAAGAAACCAGCTGTAAAAGAAAGCTATGGCAAATTTGATGTAATGTGCAGGCCTTTGGTGGGCCAAAATACTTCCCCTTTCATGACTGATTTTATTTTACGATTGGCAATCAGTAAAACGCTATGCGCCAGTGTGTTCCCCTCTCTGCCATTTTGTGAAACATTTGTTTCCACTTGCCAAAGGCCTCTGGTGCGGAGGGGGATTCGGTGCCCCTGAAATGGCAGGTGAAACTTTCTGCTTGCCTAAATAATTTCCTAGCAGAACATTACGCAGCAAGGACATAGGCAGTGGAAAGTAAGGGTCAATTCAAACTCTTGTGACAAGAAACAACATGGATATTAGTCGATGGCTCTCATAAAGCTCCCTGTGCACTGGTTAAGTGGCAGCCTCCCTGAGCTTATCTGGCATCTCTTTTTTTCATTGCTCCACTCATTTTGTGCGTCTCTGAAAGGTGTTTAGAAGAAAAGGAAGTGCAAAGTGCAAAACTGGGTCGTAAAAACTGTCCTCTGGTCATAATACGATTGGGTGTGACACACTGGCCGGGTTTCTGGTGGTAGGATATGTATTTCACATCATGAGGAAAATACTTCGGTGGTTTTTCAGATAAGATATGCTGTGTGCTATTAGCAGTGTGTGTTTAGGTCACTCCCAATACGAGAGAAAGAAATGTCTGTCAGTATTGTGTTGTACAAGAAAATTTAAGAAATTCATCACCATAGGGTTTTTTAAATGTTTTTTTATTACATATCATTATTTTACACATTAAAAATAGAGCCGCCACATCAGTAATAAATAGTGTTTATCGCTTGGATACTTTTTCAAGATAATAAGGAAATTATAAGCAAATATGTAATCATTGAAAATTTTTATTTTTTTATTCATAGTTATTGCTCTCATTTAGTTTGTTACATTTATTCTTTTTATAATTTATAGAAGACACACACACACACACACACACACACACACACACACACACTCACACACAAACACTGACCCTGTCTCATTCTTTGTGCTATGTGAACAGGACTTGTCCTTATCTGTGCACAGCTGCAACACTATTTGGGAAAATATTCAATTTCTGTGTGACAGAGGAGAACCTGGGAGGTAAGGCTCTAAGCAAACAGCAGTTATTGCGGCTCTGCCATAGCAGCCGAGAGCAAGGCCTGGCTGGGAGAGAGGGGGGATCTGCGGACGTCTGCCAGGGGAAGGAGTAATGTCTCGACTGGATTATAGGAGAGCGAAGCACATCCACACTTAAAAGCCCCTTTTCCAACAAGACAGGGCTGTTATTTAGGGAGGGTGTGGGTAAACACACCAGAGTCATATATTTCCTCCATATAGGCTGCTGTTGTCCTTGACAATTGAGACTCATTGCAAGTGAGATAAGTTTTGCTCTCAGTGCTTTTTTTGTTCTTGTTTTTTTCAAAAATAATTTCATGTTGGGATGTGGGCGTTCTTCAGTATATTCAGACTGACATTATTCCAGCAAAGTGCAAAACTGGTAAGCAGCGTTGAACAATAGAATATCATTTTACTTTTGTTCAAACAGGTTTTTTAATTTAGTAAGGTTTTTTTCCCCAGTGGTGTACTTTGGATGTAGTTGTGGCTGTCGAATTATTTACAAACCTACTGTGTTGAGTTGCATACTATTTAGCAATTAAGTGAACTATGATAGTTTCTCAGAATACTGAATGCAAAATTCAAAACAGAGATAAAACTAAATTAATACCAATAGTATGTCTTCCAGTGGGTGAAAATGGAACTAAGAACGGGTTATGAATCAGAAAAAATATGTTTTTCTCTAATTCTTCTTATGTAGGTGCATATTGATATTCTGCGGGTGCTTTAATTCAGAAAACCACAGAAGATGCTCCCCTAGATTGAAGTCTGTATGTTGGAATGCCAGTTTTCAAAGCAACATTGATTTTGGATGATCAAAAATACCAAACAGTAAAGTCCAAATGTGGAAAAAATATGAGCCATGCAAATAAATGCACCTTAAAACACTGTGTACTAACTAACTGCAGATGAAATTTTGCCAGATACATATTACATCTACTGTCAGTGCTCACTTTTTCAAGTATATGCACCGCCGCATGTTTCATTCTATATGCTTACTTGGTTATCTGGTTGGTTTGGAAGTCTGAGGCTTTGATAAATGATATTTTATTGTACAGTATTTAGTTGGGGAGTGTGGAAGCTTTGTTCTTGTAATGTAGTTGCCAAGTCAGATGGAGTTGAGCGTCTGGTCTGGGAATTTCAGAGGAATATCACAGGCATGGGAAGTTGCTAAAAACTAAGCTAATCAACAAAATAATTGTCTGTTCAATTGCAAGCATGCCAGAGACATCAAACACAGCCGAGGTTGAAAAAACAATCAAATTATCTCTTAATGATTGCTCACGCTGACAGATGAGCGCTTGTGAGTTGGTTTTGTTTCCACTAGACATATGTGAGGAAGAATGAAGTTTGTGGTCGCTCACTACTGTGTACATAATCTACATAGATATCCATCATCACCTGTAATGAAAACAATTTTATCTTATTATGTGGGTTTTGGCATTGAAACAGAGAGAAGTGTATTAGTCTATTAATTTCCTGCAGTGAATCATGAATCCTGCTGCTTTTATCCTTGCAGTACCCTCCATGTGTGGTCCACAAAAAAATGTTTCTGTTTCCTCTTTAGACTAAAGTTTGGCCCCATGTCTGCTTTCCTCTCCCTCTCTCCCTCCCTCACCCCTCCCTCTCTTTCTCTGTCTTTCTCTCTCTGCGTAGATAATGTCTCTGCAAATGATTTAACCGCCCTCGTTGAGGCTCCTTCCAGTAATTGAACAAGCAGAGACTGGGTGCTTTACAGGAAAACAATAGTCATATTATCTCAGATCTCCACCACTCTGAGATTCAACAAAACACTACCTTGGATTGGACTTGGCGGACTACTTCGACGGTCTGAATTGAAGAAACGAATCAGGTTTGCTTTCTCTCCACACAGAAAAAAAATCTTATCAATAGCAATGGATGCCATTTATTTTCTGTAGGCACGATATATTGAACGTGTCGCAAGATTGAAATGCATGTCTTGCAAGATCCACCTGGGGGTAAAGTGCAGCCTTGGGTGGTACTTGGTTGACTTAGGAAGCATGCGCGCGAGAGAGGCTTGGTACTAATTAATCAGAAATGTGTTTGGTCAATGCTTATAGCATTAATTTTAATTATATTATTAGAGTTATAGCATTAGAAATAAAAAATACATTTCTGCATAAATTACACATATTATTTTATTATTTAAAAAAAATAATTTAGACAGACAAATCGCTTGACAAGAAAATATGTCTCCAATCCCCATATTTCAGTATGATTGCTTCAGGTTGGAATTTGTTTTGTTTTTTGGCAGAGGAAGGGGCGCTTTGATTGTGTTGCTGTGGAGCAGATTTGACCTTGTGTGTCAGAATGAGGTTTTTCTAAGCCTTGTTTCATACAGAGCACTCTTAGACTGAAATGGCCTTAGGAGGAGTTGTTCTTGACAGAGATGCATTGTTTCGGGCAGCCAATAAACCACTGCACTGAGTGGCTACATCTGTGAACCTCATCTTGACTACAGTGTGGGGCTAGCAACAACACGGCAACTGTCGCAGCTGCACCTGCTGCTGTCTCAGTACAGAGCCTCCCTCTCTGCTGCCCACAGAACCGCATCACTCTTCTCTCCGTGACAAGCCAAAGGCAATGGGCTCCGCTTGGGTCAACTGGAGAGACGCTTCTTGGGAAAACATTTGAAAACAGAGGACAAAATGTCAGTCCCGAAAAGAGATGTTAAAATAAACTTCATGCCCCGAGGGCCCGGATTTGGTTCCATTGGAGCTTGGGTATAAAATTCCTGTCTGTAAAACATAGAGGGGTTTTAGAGCGCTGGCTTGGTAAAATCTGACCACCACTTGAGTGTTCATTCTTCAGCACATTTGTCCGGCTTCAGTAACAGGCTGGGGTATGATATGACAGCAAGTTGTCTCTCCCTGATATTGTAAATGATGAATACAGATAAATGGATCTGACTTTTCTGTACACATACCGCCCTGCTTGTGTATTGAGGCCATTCAGAAGATGATCTGATCAGCTAAGAAGAGATTCGGGAGCATTAAAGGCTTTTAAATCTCATATGTACTCATATTTGCTACGCTGCTGTTAAAAGTCAGAGAGCTGGCATCTAGTATTAAATAATATTACTAAAGCTCCATTTTTTCATACACTTTATTTGGTTCAGTAAATACCTGAAAGGGGAAAAAAAGAAGCAAGAAATATCTTGCAGAAAATGACTATTGGATCATCATGCTGTCTCAGAAAAAGATTATTGGTGGGGAACAATGCCGAGAGGGTTTTCAGCCAGGAGAAGTGATGCAACATGTCCACTTTCCTGCCAAATTGAACTTAGGAGTGTGAAAAGCAATGCAGGGACATGAGGAGAGGGGCTGACGTGAATGCAGATAGTGTGGGATTAACACAGGGGAAGATTGAGCGACAGTGGCCGGTGACGTCTCTTTACAGCTTTGCTTGTACAGCTGTGCCAGGCCTGGCATTCACTGCTGCCTGTTGGATCCAACTCCTCCTCCACTGCCGGGGGGTTAGGTAATGAACATCTTAAATGCTGCAGATAAGTTGATCTCCTGAATGTGTGTGTGTTATTAATGTATTTATAATGAAAATCTGAATGCTTAATATTGACACCTCAGCATGTCTCTGTCTGATTTGATCTTTTTGGCATTTGCTCAGGAAAAATACATATACAGGATGCCCTAATAATTCATCATGTCTCCTTCTAAATGAGGTGTGAGGCGGCTCTGCTGGTGTGAATTCTGCTGTAAATCACACATACCCTGACTGCTTTATCCATTAGAGTGACCTGTTTGTCTCATTCAGCCATTCAGTCCCTAGCAAATTGGTTTTAGTAATTAAGATGAGTGTGAGAACTGCAGCTTCTACTTCACACCTGGTATGTTACAGCTGGAAGCGAGACACGTAGGTGTGGAGTAGCATAAAAAAATGGAATTAACCACAAAATGACAGTCCAGTTGAATAGGCTTCATTATAGATGCATGGATAGATGCATGGATACCATATAAATCTTTTGACGACGTAAATAAATTAGTTGTTTAGGGCTTATCTCAAGATGGTTATTAATTTTACTCTTGAATTGTTGGTCTCCTTTATTTTAACGAAAGTAATGGTAAGAATTCAAAATACATTTGATATCATGATTGCATCGCTGTCCTAGGAAGACCATGTATTTCCCAAACGTTAACTTTTGTTTGAAGAAAAAAAAGCTTTATCAGCTGTGTGACATTTTTTCAACTAAAGCAATCGATTTTTAAATAGTTGTAGTAGTAGCTGAAGAAGTAGGATTTTTTTCCAGTCCATAAAGGAAAATTTGATGCATCAGTTTAACTGAAAGTCAAAATCTCCAGTTTTGAAAATACACAGATATTCTTGGACAGCAAAATATCAAACTATTCTATTTATAATAATTTTGGTGTGTGATCAGCCCCTTAACAATGTGACTGTAAAAGTGTAAGTGTCATTTCTAAAGAGTCAGGTTTCAGGTTTTACAGACTGTTTTACGTAGCTGACTGCCACTACATAAAAACAGTCTATAAAATCTGAAATTACTTTTTGAGGAACCTTCCTTATTTGGATATAGATGACACTGATTGGTCATCATCGTAGAATTCACATAACACATAACATTTTTAACCATAATCTACAATATACATCTGTTTGGGCTCTCAAAAACTAGGAGCATTAAATCAAACATATTTTATATTTTTGTCCTCATGAATCACTCACAGTGATCACTCACAGTGATTTAACACTCACACTGATAAAATCAAAGCAAGGTTAAATGATGACCAGACAGAAAGCTTTGAGCAAGCTGCACAAATTCTCAAGTACTGCATCTGTGCCCGGCAACACACGTTTCATTTTTAGCTTCAGCATCAGCAGCTGAACCATGTGATGAGTGCTATTCTTTAGTAGTTGATGGAAATGGGAAAAAAGCAGTGTAAAGAGGACAGTCAAATGGGGGGCAGAAACGGGTGCATTTTTGTCATTGCAGTGGAGCCAGTGGCATTTCCGTCATTCATCAGCCCAAGCTGATTACTAGTGGGTCTGGAGTGAACTGACAGGATGTGGCTCCTGCAGCCATTACCATCAGAAATAGGTCCAGCAGGCCCGAGGGTAGGCGAGGAGCTACCGCTCGAATAGGCCAAGACCTGCCTAAAGGATGGAAAAGTTTGCAGTGTTTTGCCCGATAACATATATCTAGTATAGAGGTGAGGTAGTAGTGTATTTTGTTGAGATATTTAGCATGGCTTTAAAAGATCTGCCGATGACGAACCCCAGGAACCTTTGCTCTGCAAATGGTAGTGTGGAAAGTTGAGTCTAATAATCAGCGAGAGATGGAATGTTGCAGACACCGCAACGCCTACTCACTTTACTGCAAGGGCCAAACGAGGGCTCTTTTATTCTCTCACCTGAAAAGGTTCGTGGGCTCCTGTTCATAGTGGAAGCAGTGTAGCAAAGGGAGGGGCGTGCAGACATTATTCGAGGACAGTGTAAAAACATTCTGAAGTCATCTCAGCTGTGCACTTGGTATTTAAACTTTAACAGAAGTTAAACATTTTGCACCAAGGCAGAGATGTGTAATGAAGCTTTCATAATACGATTCATACAACTGGAGCATGCACTGATAGCCCCAAACAAAAGTGCTAATTGACGGCTTGGATATTTTGGTGTGTAAAACATAGAAGGATGACAAAGATGGAAAATATTCACTGGACAAGGCTGAATATTTATTAGCAAGACAATAATTTCTCCTTTGAAGTTACAGTGAATGGCTGTTTTTAATCTGTGGCTGTTAATTGAACACTTTCTTTTTTGTTAAGCCATATTTTTGTAAACTTTAAGGAAGTCAAGACATTGCTTATAAAGCTGACATCTGCAAAGTTATTCTTTTCATTTTTTAAATCAGTAAATCATTAACATATCCATTTGTGAGTGTCATCGAAAATGTAAGACGCTTTCCATCGTGAGTGTGTGTGTGTGTTGATCGACTTTTAAAGAATTGTTAGGTCATTGACGATAGAGTATAAAAATATAATTTGTAATTAATCTTTTATCACTTAACTAGCTGCTGCTTTCCAGTATTTTGCAATAGATTTTCAAGCATGTTCATGCTGCTAGAGAGGGCGGCGATGGCCAAAGGTTCAATTCTTTACTGTATGTGTGAATTCAAGGTACGTGTCTTATATCTCAGGCAGCAGATTTTGCAGTATTTTAACAAGGCCATATTATTTGTGTAAAATGCAAAACTCTTTGGACGTTGGTTAAGTGCATCTCATTCCCACGTCTCTTTTATGTTGTTTCGTGTTCATCAGATCAAACACAATAACTGGTGATTATGCCTTGACACAAACCGGTCAAGGAGAGGTAAAACTTCGTCTCTAATATAATCCACCAGACGTTTTAGTCAAATAAAACATAATCTTTCATCTACACACAGCTCAGTGCATTATATTGCTCTGAATGGTGCGTAGTGTTGAGAAACCACATTACAGAGATGCTTGTTGTTGTTCAGAGGACAATTTTCCTCCCCAGCAAGAACCCTTGTCAAAGTATTACCTTCTCTCCCAACATGGGCCTCTGTTATCACACTCACTTCATATTCATAGTGAGTCTTATTCTCCGTCATTATTTTGTATAACGTAGAGCTGTAGCAATTACACTTCAGTGGATTACCTATGCAGAGATACAGAGATTAAGATCTCTGCTTCATACTACCTCCCGCGTGGCGGTTCAAAGGTGTGACCTGTACTGCAATGCGCTATCGTTTGGCAGAGCACAAAATTGGTCAACCTTTCAGAGTTTGTTTGGGAATAGGAATCCCTTTGGTATTCAAAACAGGAGGGCCTTATGACAGGGAGA